TATATATATATATATATGAAAACCTCGATGCTTATAGCCAGTAGTTGGGCACCATAAAATAGGTTAACTTTACATTATAGTCAAGGTTATCGATAGCGGATAGCGTCGCGTAGCGGCGAGGCATCGCTAAGGCTATTTCGGGCTATTGCGGCAAAATAGCGGTAAAAAACGCAAAGTCAAATAGCGGTCTAATTTAGATATATATAAATACTAAAAAAAATTTTAAAAAAAAATCTAAGAAATCTAAAAGTACATATTGGATGATTTAAAGAGAACCTAAACATGAAATAGACATGTAACCATCACGTAATACCGAAGATGACCGGAGGAGTCAAAAAGTCGTCTTCGAGAAGTGCTTAGTGGTGACAGGACTGTCCTAAAAGGAGCTCACGGTAAAGGAGGTGAGAGGAAGTATCAAGATAGGTGCCAGAGGCTATGAGAGGTGGTGGGAGTATGCTGACAATCACAAGAGATGGTGGAATGCAATGGTTAAGGGTTGAGTTTAATTTTAAAAAAATAAGCCTCAAACCGCTTTTAAATAGCAATCAAAAAGCAAATTTTGAATGCAATCGCTCACTATTTACCGTTATGACATACTATTGGCCACTTTTACGATCAGATATATTCCGCAATATGTCACTGCTATTGCGCGATAACATAGCGGTCGATAGCGTCGCGGGAAGGGACCGCTAACGCTATTAGCGCCGCTATTGCGGGGCTATTTACTGCCATTTATAACAGCGGTTTAGATATTGAATGCAATAAGCAAAATTCTCATACCAATAGTTATAATTAGAGAAATTGACACCTAAGGTTCTCTAAGTATCACTATTAGCAGCCTTATGAGCATAATCATAGAAATCCTTGTATGGTTTGCAAAGGACTGGGGAAGATCCACATTAACATCACCTTAGAGAGGTTGCAAAGATCTCAGTTTTAGTAGCTTCATCATAAGAAGACAATGAGTCATCAGGTGGATTCAAGGTCTCAAAGTAACTAATCATTTTGAAACAATCTTCCAATCTTATGGTACTAATAACCTTAGCAGCATGGCTTTTATCACAATTTATTAGTATATGTATTCAGTAAGATGGATGTTAGTGAATTATGGTACAGAAACAAAATTAAATTTAAGCTACAAGGTTCTTCAAAACTTATAACTTTACGAATGGGCAAGCTCAATAAAAGATACTAAAGAATAGTATCTGGTAGCATGTCATTGACCAATTGATCAAATTTGTAACCAATTACATGTTGATAAAATAACATGGTATTTCTTCTTAGTAAAAATTAGAATAAAAACTCAAATACAATTTTAACCTTAAGAATAAAAACTCAAATAACATGGTATTTCTTCTTAATAAAAATTAGAATAAAAACTCAAATATAACTTTAACCTTAAGAGCAAATTACCATACTATTTAGCAAGCCATGCTTGTTCCATGATGCTTGTATTATATATTATACATCAAAAATCTTTTCATTTTCATTGAATCTCCACAAAAGGAAAAACTTATAATAGTACAAAAATTAGATAAAATTGAGGAGGTAGACAATTTTCAAAACTCTATTATAATTATTAAAAAATTAGATTAAATTTCTCCAATAAACAATGATAATAGCTTACAAAAAGCAAAATTTAGGTATAATTTAATCTTTGTACTTGAATATTCTTGGTGCAATGGGTAGCAATTCTGGAACTAGAAGGAAATGAAAACTAAAGAAAATAAAGTGAAAACTTACCAAAAGAAAAGGAAAAATAAAGATCAATATTTAAATGCAATATTTTCAAAATATAATTAAATTTGAAGAAATGAGAACTTACCAAAGAAAATGTACATAGTCATACTTTAGGGAGGGAGAAATTTTATTTGAAAGAGGTGAGAGGATGTATACATTGAGGGATGTTAGGAGGTTGCAGGGGTTGATCATGAAATGGACTGAGAGAACGTGGGGTGTTGATTGGACATTTTAATTAATAGGCATTAGAACGGGTCCTCAAGAAGTTTGCTGGTTAATTATTGTATGGAATTTGAAGAAGCAATATGTTAGAGATTGTAATGGTAGTGGATGATTAGATAAGCATTGAAAAACAGTCGCAAATTATCAAACTTGAGAATCATAATAAATATTGACAAGGGAAAAATAGGCAATCAAAAGTTTTGACACATATATTAGTATAGATTATTGGATTTTCATTATGCTTAAGCATCATCTTTCATTCTTTTACCAATAACATCATGTCATGTTATTATTAATCCTCTCAGCCTAGGTCTGCAATGTTATTGCTTGATAATTTCAATATTGGTTGTTAATACTTGTTGCAATTCATTGATCTAATTATATATTTTTTGTAATGCTTAAATCAATTGTCAAAATCATGTTTGCAGAATGCTGCATACATGATCTCTCGAGGTATGAAGACGCTGCACCTTCGTGTACAGTATCAGAATAGTATAGCATTGAGGATGGCCCAATTTTTAGAGGAACATCCCAAGGTATTCAAAACTCTTCCTCCATCCCTCCCTCCATACTAGCCATCCCATTTTGGGGGAACATTTTGTACATGATGGATATTGATATGGTTTCTACTTTTTGCTTGAATAATAAGAAGGTTGGGTTAACAGTGCTAATATACAATCTTGTGGCGATCATATCACTTTATTCTTTTCATCGTATCTCTCATGGATTGGTGGTATATTGTCTTGCCAGATTTTACGGGTATATTACCCTGGACTGCCAAGTCATCCAGAGTATCACATTGCCAAGCAGCAAATGACTGGTTTCGGTGGTGTGGTCAGTTTTGAGGTCAGTAATGTTAGTCTTTAGCTGTTATTAATTGTAACTATGACTAAAGTGGTTTAAGATGTATTATTGACTGAATTTGTTTGTGTTTATATATATTATCAGATATTTTCTGAGGTCTCAGGTTATCATTTCGATGTTGTTCATAGTATCAGGTTTTTAGCTTAAATTGTTTACTGTGTTCATGGGTGCAGCTAGCCGGAGGCTTGGCAGAGACTAAAAAGTTCATTGATTCTTTGAAAATTCCATACCTTGCTCCTTCTTTTGGAGGTTGTGAGAGTATAGTGGACCCACCAGCCATTTTGTCTTACTGGTAATGCTACTTAACTACATTTTTGTTCGAATTTGCAAACTGGATGTACATCTTCCATGTATAGCTCAGTATGAGTCTTAAGCGATCAAGATCCTCTTGACACTTGGCCATTTTAATGATGAAACAGGGATAGCGTGTCGGAGAGAAACAAGTACGGCATTGGAGAAAACCTGATCAGGTTCAGCTTTGGATTGGAGGACTTTGAGGATTTGAAGGTTGATATCCTTCAAGGTCTTGAAGCTATGTGATGCCTTAGGCACTGCTGTTATTGATAATAACGGTCTCTGCTTATTGCAGTTGGACCTGATCTTATGATTTGCATTGAACTTCCTTCCCATGTTCTCTTTAGTAATTTGTTTTGCTGGTGGTCACCTTGTTGTTGCGACAATGTTGTTATTGTTCTGAGTTTGAGTTCACAAAGTCGGGTTTATCTATCTGTGTTGTTTTGGTTTAACTTTTTTTTTGGGAGTATTGACCCGTTACTGTCTCATGAGTTGACGAACTCGATTAGCATAAACTGGTTTTCTTAGCCAAACTGGTTTTGTTTAGTTTCATTCCCCTTTGCCAAATTTGGGGACTTGAATCCGCACCAACAGTTGCAGGTAATTTCTAAAATGAGACAATTGAGGCTTTGATTTAGTCCCTTAAATCATTGAAATTGCTATTAGTTCCCTAAATTCTTAAATTATTTTGAACGTAGTCCCTCAAACCATTGAATTGACTATTACGTCACATAATTCTTTAGTTAGCAAGAGTAGAAGTAGCAACTAGAGAGATTAACTTGAAACAAGTTATGAAAAATTAGGGGATCTAATAACAATTTTATTGATTTGAGTGACTTTTTTCAAAGTAACTTCAGCAATGAGGGATCTAATAGTAATTCAATTACTTGGAGACCTAATACTAATTCAAGGACAAATTTTCGTTTTAGACCCTTTTACGAATTTATTTAAAAAAAACGACCCCTATCATATTTATTTACAAATTTCAACCCAGTTTCAGCTGCTTGCGATTAAAGTTGAAAAACTTCACAGGATTCTAAATCCCGTGAAGTTTAGAATTATCCTAACTCCGCGGGATTTTAAATTCTGGGGAGTTTAATATAACATGGTCGTAATAGTTGGCCAAGTGGTTTTCTTAAAGAAAGCTAAATTTCAATCATTCTACAAGAATAATTACACTAAAAATATTGGTCTTACAAAATTTACGAAAATAATCAAAGATATCATTATAGAATAATATGAATTCTTATTCAAATATTTTTCCTAGCATTCTCAATGTATTTTGATCATATTAATAAATTTTAAGTAAATGCTATCTTTAAAAAATAGTATATATTTAAGGTGACTGTTTCGGTGCTCCCAAAACTATTTTTCGGTGTACCACACCCATTTTCATAATTTTTATCTGTAACTATCGTTGTCTCATCTAACTGTTATACAGTTAGGAAGATAATTGGGTGTACCACGCTTATATTTGTAAATTTAGCAAGTTCGAGGGGGTAATAGATATAGTTAGTTTTTTTTCTCAATCATCATTCATGCTTTCTTCATTACTGTTAACCGTTATGATAGCATGTTTTTAAATATTTTTATCGAATTATTTGTCTTATTCTTTATCCATCTCATCCTCCACTAAAATGAACCCAACCCCATGCTACTTTTTATTTGAGAAGTGGCGTTGAACCAGTCTTCTGATTTTCTACAAGCGGCTGAGAGGGGAAAAGGAAATAGGCAAGAAAGAAAAGAGTTATTTGGCTAGTTTTTGGGAGAAAAAAATAGGAAAGTAAAATGCAGTCAAAAAGGAAATTAAGACCAAAATAGACTTCCTATTATTTAGCCAATTTAGAAATTCTATATATTTAAAATTTATAAAAGAGTTATTAGAGCACCGAAGCTAGGCCTGTCCAAAAAGTCCGCCGGCCTGGGGTTCCGGCCTGGCTGGCCGTGTCCGGCCCCGGGCCCAGACCTGGGTCCGGGTCCCCTCGTTGGCGCCAGTAGGACCCGGCCCGGCCCCGGAACAGTTCCGCCGGGCAACGAAATTGCCCGGGCGCCCACCCGGAATCCGCCAGCAACGATAACCCTTGGTGACCGTTGCGGGCAAAAATCTGGGCCGGGCCAACCAGGCGAAAACGGTCCGCAAGGGTGACCGTTTTCGCCAAACGGTCAGATTTGTGACCGTTTGGTCGGGCCGGACCAGGGCCCGACCAAAACGGTCATTTTTTACGTTTTTATCGTTTTACCCCTTAAAACGGTCAAAAAACGGCTATTTGGTGAGAGTTTTTTGATCATTTGCCTAGGAGGCTACCTCTATAAATAGAGGGGGGTTTTCACTTCTTCTCCTCACATCAAAACTCATCTACTTCTCTCTAATACTCTCTTATACAATCTTATACTCTATTATAATCTCTTATACTTTCTAATCTTTTTATCAAATGGCTTCTGAATCTGATTATGAAAAGCAAAATCTATCTCCTACCGATATTAAAATGAGTCCTCTTACAACAACAGTTACTCCTCCTACTAATCCTACCAGTGGTAATCCCGAATCCGGTGACGACGAATCTGTACCAAGAGCTCCTAAAAGACCGAGATTCGATGTGTGGAATTTTTTTGAGAAGGTAGACATCACCAAGGATGAACATGGTAGGATCCTCGCCTAGAAGGCTAAATATGCGTTGTGTGGTCAGACTTTCCAAGCTCATCATAAGAGCGACACCAACCACCTCAAACGCCATATAGAAAAGCACAACAAAAGCCAGACTCCTCAAGGTGATATCCGACAATCTATAATTTCTCAATCCTCCTCTTCTGGTAGTCTCGGTACTTAAAATTATATCGAGCCAGAAAATACGTCATCAGGTTCATCATTATTAAAAACCTTCTTTTTAAATTAGTAGAAGATGATGAATTTGAAGATTTGTTTAGAGTTGGGTTTTATCCTAATTTTAAAAAAATTTCTCGACAAACCTGTCAACGTGACATTTTAAAACATTATCAAACAGAACAAGGAAAAATAATTTCTTATTTTAAAAATTTAAACTGTAAATTTTCTTTAACTTCTGATATTTGGACATCTAGAGCACAAACATGTTATTTATGTATCACAACACACTGGATTGATGAAAATTGGCAAATATTTAAAAGAGTTGTTTCTTTTATTGTAATTGAAGAGTCACATACTGGTATTAATGTAGCCAATTTAATAGTTGAAGAACTTATGAAACTAGAAATTGATCAAAGAATATTTTCTCTTTCACTAGATAATGCAAGTAATAACAATGTAGCTATAGATTTTCTCAAAATAACTTTGTCATTGCCCTGTCATGGTGAACTTTTTCATATTAGATGTATATGCCATATTTTAAATTTAATTGTTCAAAGTGCATTTACTGAAATTAAACTCATGATAGAAAAAGTTAGAACAGTTTCTTATATGCATACTGCTTCTGAACAAAGATTTAAAAGATGGAAACAAATGTGTAAAAGAAAAAATATATTAAGACTAGACTAATTCCAAAAGATGTTGACCATATGTGGAATTTCACCTATGCAATGTTAAGTGTAGCTATAGAATATAAAGAAATTATAAATAATTTTATAAATTATTTTGCTTCTAATTCTAGCTCTGGTAGCTCTTATGGAATAATTGAAGATGAATAGACTTATATGTAATTTAAATAAGATGTTACAAGTTTTTTATGATGCTACTATGTTATTATCTGGTTGTTATTATCCAACTATTACTTTAGCTGCTTTACAAAATTTAAATATTCAAAAAAAAATTAACAAATATAGTATGAATGATACTTTTGGAAGTATAATTTTTCAAATAGAGAGCAAATTTAATAAGTATTTTAGGCCTATTCCTCGTATTTTTGGTTTGGGAGGTTCTTATTGGTCCATGTTTGAAGGACATTGGCCTTCGAAGTTTGTTACAATCATTGTATGGTAGACATGTTATAGACTTAGATATGATGATGGATCCAGCATTACTGTTACTTCTTATCATTTAGCTATTAGAAATTATTTTCAAACCTTATATGATGAGTACGCAACTAGACATGGTGTAGCTGCATAACAGTCTGCAGCTTCGGGGCCTTCGAGCTCAAACCGAAGTAAAAGTGTAAGTTTTGATAGGCATGCAATGATAGCTGAGCTAACTGGTGGGTCTGGACTTAGATCATCATTGGAGGGTTCTGAAATAGATGAATATTTATCTGCTTCTTTAGTTAAATGTCAAGGAAATGCTTTAGATATTTTGCATTGGTGGAGAGTATATGGATCAGTTTCATATCCTATACTTTTCACCATGGTTCGTGACTTACTAACATTGCAGGTTTCGACGGTAGTTTCGGAATCCGCCTTCAGCACAGCAGGACGTTTGATCGACGACCACAGGACATGCTTAGATCCGTATACTGTATAAGCGGTGATGTGCTTACAAGATTGATGGAGGTACGAGAAGCGAACACAAGGCATCGATCGGATGGCTGGAATTGAAGATAAATTTGAAGAGTTAGGACTAGCAGATAGATATAAAGATTAAACAATATTCATCAAATTGTAATTTTTATTTCTTAGCTTTAAATTTCTAATGAATTATTTTGGAAATAGTCGCAAATGATAGTGATATAGGTGAGTAGGTGCCAACCTAGTTAGGATGTACTCATCTATTGTGATGCGACGAATTCCGAAATAAATTTATACTTGTAAAAGATTTACTGATTATTAATAAAGAAGTTATTTTTATCATCTTTCATTTTTATAATTTTTTATATTTGTAATTTATTTCATTTCAAGTTATTAATAATATGATTGTTTTTATTTTTATTTTCTATAATTTTTTGTAATTTTTTATATATATTTTAAATTTTAATAAGATTTTTAAAAATTTTAAAAAAATAAAAAAACCAAAAAACCCGGGCCGGGCCATTGGGCCCGGGTCCGGGCTCCGGTTTTGCTCGGCCAGGCCCAGGTTTTTCGGGCCGGCCCGGCCCCGATGGAGAGGCCTAACCGAAGCAATCCTCTATAATATAGAGTGTATGTACGTTATCATAATATTTACTATAAGTAGTTTAATGAGATAAACATGATATGAATTAAACAATGCATATGTGTTTTTAAAATTCTTAAAGGGCAATAAAAATGTTGAATTAGGGAGATATGACCATGCTTAGCACAAGCTAAAATACTAGCGTCTTGTGAAGTAAGAATCGAAACAATGGTAATTATACTTAAGATGGTTTTAAATCCTATGATTCTGATAAGTAAGAAATGGAAGACAGTTTTCCCCATAGGTTTTTAATTTAAAAAGAAGAATCTAATATACTGGAATTTAATTGTGATTGAGAATTTTCACCAATTATATTTACTAAAAAGACCTTAACTTGTTCATAATTGACTAGTTAATTAATTTTGTGTGTAGTGTAGTTAATTAATTATTTTATCCCACCTTTATATTTAATGAGACATTGCTAGTTCTCCTAAATGCATATAAAAAACTGACACATGTCATATATATACATGACTCATGTAATATCAAAAGATAGCTATGTGTACTTCTATGATCTATCCTACCTGGACACATAATCATATCTTCACATAGTTAAGAATTTCTATCAAATTAAAAATATTTATAATTTATAATTTTTAATATAATTAAATATTTGGCAATTCTAATAAAATTGTAACCATCCATAATTAATAAAATCTCAACCATATCCCTCTTTTTTATCCTCTTTACGTAAGAATCCTTGCCAAATTAAAACTATTCATAATTCAAAAATTTTATTAATCAAAACCTTCTTTATTTAAAAGGAATTTTTAAGATTGTAAATTCGTCAACTGCCCTCTTCAATAAAAAATTATAAACAACCCCTTAGAAATTTGCGAAAAAATCCTTTGATATTCAAAATTATAAATGAACCACAAGGAAAAACCAAAAATTACAAATAGCCCCATAAAATTTAATAAATTACAAACTACCCTTTTAAAATCCATAAATTACTATCAATCTCTACAAAATCTAAAAATTACAAAAAAGTCCTATGAAATTTCAAAAATTATAAATATCCCCTAAAATTTTATAAATAACCCCTTAACATTTTTACAACTAGCCCTTTAAAAGTTTTAAAAATTACAATTACCCTCATGAAAATTTCACGAAACGCCCTTTGAAAATTTTACAACTAATCCCATGAAAGTTGTGAAAATAACACACACCTTATTGAAATTTTTCAAACATTTTAAATAACTCCCTAAGAAATATCAGACGACACCTTGAAAGTTTTAAAGATTACAAACTCCTCATAAAAAAAATCTAAAGACTACAAATAGACCCATAAAAGTTGCAAACAGTCCCTTAAGATTCCAAAATTATAAATAAAACCCTGAGAAAGGTGAGAATTACAAATAGCACTACAAAATTCAGAAGATTATAATATGCCCCCCTAAAAGTTTCAAAAATTAAAAATATCCTATTGAAAATTTTGCAAACTGCCCTTTAAAAATCTTAGAACTAATCTCATGAAAGTTGTGAAAATAACACACATCCTCTTGAAAGTTTCGAAATATTATAAACAACTCGCTAAAAAAAAACAATTGACACCTGAAAGTTTTAAAAATTATAAACACTTCACAAAAAATCTAAAAATTATAAATAGATCCATAAGAGTTGCAAACACCCCCCCTAGCATTCAACAATTATAAATAAACCCTGAGGAATGTGAGAATTACAAATAGCTTCACAAAATTTAGAAGATTACAACATGCCCCATTTAAAATCCATCAATTACAAACAATTCCTAGCAAACCTATAAATTATGAATATTTCTCTAAAAGTTAAAAAAATTACAAATAACCCCTTAATAATTTCACAAATTACAGGGTAAGGTATTTATGCGACAGTTCCGGGGTTTAAACAGAGTGTGTTACAGGCAAGTTTCAATGAGCTGATGGTCACTGATGGAAGCTTGGCTTAGCATTTAACTAAAATGTAGTTCATAGAGTGTTTTGTCAAAATCACTTACGAGATCTGCTCAAATTTTGATAAGTGGGTTTGGTCTGTAGGGGCTAGCCTGTAAACACAGAATTGGGCCTTGGCCGAAAACATTAGTAAAAAAAGCCTAAATATTAATAAAACCCTCATAAACTTTGGCCGATCAGCGATCAGCGGATAATCACCCCCACCCCCATAACTTTGAAAATATCAGAAAAACCTCATTAATTTGAGAAATTATCAGAAGAACTCCTCTAACTTTACCCTTGACAATGTTAACCAAAGCTTTCACTTGGGTTGGTAGAATTACGTGGGAGATGTTTTTGGTAGTGAAAATTGTGATTCATGTTTTAAGTATGATTTCGAAAGCAAAAAAAAAACAAAAAACAAAACTTAAGATTTAAAGGTTTTTTTAATTTTTTATAACCCATAAAATTTGTGGATTTTTATTTTTGAAATTTTTAATATAAATATCAAATTTTTAGATTTTTAAAATTGTATTACTGAAATTAAAATATACAAGGAAATTATATAATTTTACAATTTCAAATTTTAATGTGAATTTTGTAATTTTTTTTGCTTTTATATAGTTGTGAAATTTATTTTTATACCAAATTTAATACTAATTTTGAGATTAAATGATACAAAAATCCCAACAAATTTCAAATTATCAATTTATGTTACCTAATTCAAGGTACCAAATTTATGTATAATAGATTCATATTTTAAGTAAATAAATAGAAAAAATCTTACTTTAATTATATTCTCTTTCAATAGAAACACAGCGCGCAATATATCTTCTATGGACAAATTTTCAAAACCAACATGTTTGCTAAAAAAACTCCCAAAAAAAGACTCATTTTAAACTTAATTTCAAAAACCGACCCAGTTGGCTGAAATTGGGTCGGTTTTTTTTAAAAAAAGTTTCCAAACTTCACGGGACTTCAGCCGACTGGGTCGATTTTTGAAAAAAAGTTCTCAAACTTCACGGGAGTTGAAGTCCCGTGAAGTTTTGTTATATAAAAAACTTCACAAGACTTCAACTCCCATGAAGTTTGGGAACTTTTTTCTCAAAAACCGACCCAGTTTCAGTCAATTGGGGCGGTTTTTAAAATTATGTTTGAAATGTGTCTTTTTTTTGGAATAAAATTCTAAACATGTCGGTTTTGAAAATGTGTCCTATCTTCCATTCCTATCTTTTCACCAGAAAGCCACATGCGGGAATCATACATACTACAAAGGAGGCTCACATTTTCTAGTAGAAAGCACAGTTTTCTGGTATAGAAGTTCGAGTTCAAAGGCACAAGGAGAGGGGAGGAATCTCCACGAGAGAATGGCAGGCATCAAAGTCCAAGGATGGGCTCTTGGCCGACCCCAAAGTCAGCCCAATTATCTGCGATCTCAGTCCATAGCATGGTGCTTGATGTGAATGGTTTGTACTCTAAAGATCCTCAGGGGCCTTTCTACTATTGTGGCGGATATAATCCTGCTGCCTTGGCAGCTCTGGTTCTGTCTGTGGTGTCTTCAGTTCCTGGATTTCTTCACAAAGTTGGAATCCTTGTAGATACCTTTGAAGCGTTCATTGTGATCTATGATAATGGTTGGTTCTTTGGTCTTGTCCTCTGGCTCAGTCTTGTCTTGGCTTCTCTGTTGTTGTTGGATTAGAACCCATTATATTATGGAGAAATTGGTGTGAGTTCGTATGTCTATTCAAGGAAGGCTAATTATCTTTCTTAAACCATGTTGTCTCTTTGTAACTTCAGGATTTTCTTTGAGCTATATTTTGCGTGGGAGTTTAGTAAGAGTGTTTGAATCTTTAGATTTTAAAGATTCCACATTTTGTTCTTCTCACAATGCCAAAGTGCGTACATTTGTTCTTATGTACTCCATTAATGCCAAAGTGCACATACATCTTTCTTTTGTTCTCGTCACTTCATATCGCTCTTTTTCGGTTTATTTTCAGATCCTCAGATCATCAATATGCATGGTATCAAGATGTCTGAGGGTCAAATCTGAGGTTCATTGGCAAATTCAACTTAGCTGCTGGTAAATCAAGATGAATGTTGTAATGACGTAGTAAGGATTGAAGAAGGTACTTTCCGGCTACAGAGAAAAAAGCCAGACGATGAGCAGGATGAAAAATCACAACTATTTTGTGAGGAAGAGGTATCGAGTTCTGGTGCTATGCATCTTTCTCCTATGCGTTCAAGGTACAGTGATAAACTTTCATATTGTCTTCAATTCAGAAGTTAAAATTATGATACGAAGATTAAGTTTTTTTTATCTGTTTGTTCATATATACCTTCCACCTTTAATAGTTTCTTTATCGTAAGTGATTTCCCTGGTTTCATTGGATTAAAAATGCCTATGATAATTCATAAGACTTGAGCTCTTGCAATTAATAATCAGATGGGTTTGAATGCATCTTTCCTTTTGTACCTAAACAGTTGGAAAGCCAATTTTTAATGTCAATATGGCCACTGATTTTGCAGTATGATTCCCACAGGAGGCCACTGTATTTCTTATAAATAAATGGTCTTCACCTTTGGATGCCCATTATTATATCTTACAAAAAAAGAAAAAAAATACTTTAATTAATTGGTGGAAACAAAGTTAAAGCAACAGAGACATACTAATAGAGAATTTATAGTCTAATCCATAAATATGTTATTTATTATCCAGATCCACATGGATTAGCTGTTAGTGACTCTCTTTTGATTCTATAAGTATCAATGTTACTGGTGTTGATTTTGACTTGCATTCCAACAATTGTTAGGAGTATCTCAGATACATTCCATCTAGTTGTGGGCTTGGTTTAGTGGAGGGATGAGATGAGATTTTGACTCACATAGGAAAGCAATTAGATGAATGTACGGTTAAATATACTTGGACTTATGACTCGAACATGATTAACCCTTTTGAGTCAGTTGGGTCCGATAACCTAATCCATCTTCTGTTTATGGGCCGGGTCTTACGAACCCCGAGTCAGTTGGGTCCAATAACCTAATCCATCTTCGGTTTATGGGTCTTACATACTCAATAAATTAGTATGAGAGCTCATTGTTTTATGAGCCTTTGTTGGATGCTCAATTTAAGTTCATGGTGCTCTTGGTTGCACAAGGTGAAGATTTGTTAGCGGTGTTTTGCATCCGTTTGTTTAAGTGTATCTTGTTTAGCAAAAGCATGAGATTAGATTTTGTCCAACATCGAAAAACAATTAGATTTTGTCCCGTGATCTTAGACTAAATCACCGATCCGGTCTAGACCCGATCAGGAGACTCAGGTTTTGTGTAAGCGCAGGCTGGTCAGAACTGGGTCTGAACTAGGTGTCGCGTTGCACAATAACCTAAAATGGCATTCCTTTTAAGGATTATAATTTTGAT